AATATCACCTGAATATTATCAACATCAACTATTTAAACTCAAAATTTATATTGACCTTCCACAATTTATGTAACTTATATTCATTTTCAAGTTGCGTTGAGCGGGTATGTTTGTTATATTTTTTTTTACATTATTATTGGTTTTTTTGTGTTATATATATATATATATATATATTATAATATATATATATATATATTTTTCTATATTAAAGTTCATTTTATATTGAATTGATAATTAAAAAATCAATAAATAAAATATCCACAAATTGAACTCAAAGTTTATATCATCATGGTTCTTCTCAAATATGTTACCATTTGACATTTGCTACACAAGTTTAAAACTTTGTCAAGAAAAGCAAAAAAAAAAAATTGCAGGATAACCCACTGGGTATTATTGATAAGTTTATAAATTAATCAAAGAAAGAGAAACATTGTTGAAAAATAGAAACTTTTAAGCTAGAGACTTACAGAGCCAAATGAAAAAATTGATTTTGATTGTTTAGAAGAGAAATGAATTATTTTTATTATTATAATTTTAGAAATAAAAAAAAATTAAGAATGTTGAGAAGACAACTTAATTGAAGCATTGAAGAAACCTTGAAGATAAAGATTTTGTGACACAAATCCATTTGCTGCAATTAGAATTAACCACCACCTAGAGCAAAAAAAGCATTTGATGATAGCATCCTAAAGAAAGACGATAATTGTAAAACCCACAAAAGCCACAAATCAAACAACAAAATCAATCCAAAATTGAATTTGTTTTATGTGTGTGATGATAAAATGAATGGTTCAGAAGTAGGTCTATAGTTATCGTAATTCATCATATAATATATTAAATTAAAGCCCTATCTTTCTAGTTTCCAAAGATTCAAACCTCTCATCAATTGGATTTATATTGAGCAAGTTATGGCTAATATACTACTAACTGTTCAGTGAAAATCGAGAAACAGGAGAAACTAAAATGTGCGTAATGATAAAAGGAATGGTTCTACAGTGGGGCTGCATTTATCTAAATTAAGCATATAATATATCAAATTAAATCTCTATCTATCTAGTTTCTAAAGGTTCAAACCTCTCATAAATTGGATTTTTATTGAGCAAATTATGGCCAATTTACTACTGACTGTTCAGTGGAAACAGAATTGTGTGTGATGATAAAAAGAATGGTTTGGCAATGGGCCTAAAGTTATCCAAATTAAGGGTATAATAAATCAAATTAAAGCCCTATTTATCTAGTTTCTAAATATTCAAACCTCTCATCAATTGGATTTTTATTGAGAAAGTTATGGTCAATTTACTACTGACTATTAAGTGGAAACCAAAATGTGTGTGATGATAAAAGAAATTGTATGATAGTTGGGCTATATTTATCCAAATTAAGCATAAAATATATCAAATTAAAGCCTTGTCTGCCTAGTTTTCAAAGATTCAAACCTCTCATCAATTGAAGTTTTATTGAGCAAGTTATGGTCAATTTACTACTAATTGTTCAGTGGAAACCTTGTAATGATAAAATAAATGATTTACTAAAGCTACATGGTTTAGCATCAAACATCAGTTGATATTTATTAACTAAATGAAATTAGTTATATTTAGCAGCAAACTCTTTTCATGATATATGTATGTAACATAAAAGATATCATCAAAAAGAGATAGACTAATTACAATTAAAACTACATATCATTTGTTTTCCTTTAAGGATAATAATAATGGTTTGGCATATTATAAATGGTTTACTAAAGCTACATGGTTCGGCAACAAACATCAGATGATATTTGTGATACAAATAAAATTTGTTATATTCAGCAACAAGCTGTTTTTGATATATGTATGTAACATAAAAAAATATCAACAAAAAGAGATGGAACAAATACAATTAAAACGACATATCAATATTTGTTTTCCTTTGTCATCACTAAAATTCAATTGGTTTTATGTGTGTGATGATAAAATGAATGGTTCGGCCGTAGGCCTATAGTTCACCAAATTAATTACATAATATATCAAATTAAAGCTCAATCTTTCTAGTTTCCAAAGATTTAAACCGCTCATCAATTGGATTTTTATTGAGTAAGTTATAACCAATTAACTACTGATTGTTCAGTGGAAATCGAGAAACAGGGAAAACTGAAATGTATGTGATGATAAAAGGAATGGTATGGAAGTGGGGCTACATTTATCCAAATTAATCGTGTAGTATACTGAATTAAATCCCTGTATGTCTAGTTTCTAAATATTAAACCTCTCATCAATTAGAGTTTTATTGAGCAAGTTATGGTCAACCTGCTATTGACTGTTAAGTGGAAACCAAAATGTATGAAGATAAAAGGAATGGTTCGACAGTGGGGCTACAATTATCCAAATTAAGCATGTAATATACAAAATTAAATCCCTGTATGTCTGGTTTCTAAATATTCAAACCTCTCATTAATTGGAGTTTTATTGAGCAAGTTATGGTAATTTTACTACTGACTGTTCAGTGGAAACTGAAATGTATGTGATGATAAAAGAAATAGTTCAAAAGTAGGGCTACAGTTATCTAAATTAAGCATATAATATATCAAATTAAATCCCTATTTGTCTAGTTTTCAAAGCTTTAAACCGCTAATCAATTAGATTTTTATTGAGCAAGTTATGACTAATTTACTACTGACTGTTCAATGGAAATTGAGAAACAAGAGAAACCAAAATGTGTGTGATGATAAAAAGAATGGTTCGCCAATGGGGCTACAGTTATCCAAATTAAGCATATAATATATTAGATTAAAGCCCTTTTTTATCTAGTTTCTAAAAATTCAAACCTCTTATTAATTGGATTTTCATTGAGCAAGTTATGGTCAATTTACTACTGACTGTTCAGTGGAAGCCGAAATGTGTGTGATGATGAAAGGAATTATTCAAAATCAAATTAAAGCCCTTTCTGTCTAGTTTCTAAAGATTCAATCCTCTCATCAATTGCATTTTGATTGAGCAAGTTATGATCAATTTACTATTGATTGTTCAGTGGAAACCGAATGTGTGTGACGATAAAATGAATTGTTTACTTAACCCAAATTTAAGAGATTATTATATTAGGACTGATAAGAAATATTTCAAATAACACCTATTAATTGGAAAACGGAATCAGCCAAAATTAATACATTTAACATATATACTCGCACATCAACATGACATAAACAATAAATCATTTATATAACAAATTAAAATATACAAATGTTTTTACAGAAAACATATTCAATACAATTGAATTGTTTATACTAATATAGATATGACACATACTCACAGTTCGGTTGACAATAGGATCATCCTCGATTTGATCTTAGTAAAGTACATGAACATTTCCTTGAAAATAAACATAACAAAATTTAATCGATCTTCATGTTAAGATTTGTTAAGAAACAATTATTCATTCGTATAACAATTGTTACCTGAAAACAAAATCAACAAAAGTTAATTAATCTTCATATTAAAATTGTTAAGGAATACACTTACCATTCAGCAGGACTAACACAATTAATCATTCAAATAGATTGATTGACCAAAAACAATCATTCAATCAAATAATAACCATTAAAATAGTTAGGAGATATACTTACAATTTCGTATTAAAAATAGTTAGAAGATATGCTTCCAGTTCAAAAGAACGAATCAAAATAACAACTCATTTGACAATGTCGATCGGACATCCTACCTTTATTCCACGCCAATTTATGAATTTTTGACTTGTAAATAACAACAAAAACATAAATAAATAAAAAAATCACCGATTAATAAAATCATGAAGAACATACATATTATTGACATAAACAAACATGACCTATAAACAATTAACAGAAGACCAGACGTATTGTTGACACCAACTAACGTATTACGATAATACACAACTGAACATACGCCCTTTTATAACCCCTTATTTAGACATTTCGAATGTCAACATAATTAAATACAAAGAAAGATTTGCAAAGTTAATACAATGAACCTATATAATTATTGATAAACATGTATGCTTTTACTACCAATGCAATGCACCTATGTAATCCAATTTTTATGTCTATTTATTTAGACTTTGGAATACCAATACAACAATTGATATTGTCTACATCATTACCAATAAAATTCAACCATATGACAATCACAAATGCAAGGTGTCCTTATGGTTAGACCTTTAGAATGCCAATGCAATGCACTTATATAATTAGTATTATTATTAATTATTAATACAACAATGCAATGCACCTATGTAATCCAATCTTTATGTCTATTTATTTAGACTTTGGAATACCAATGCAGCAATTAATATTATCTACATTGTCACCAATAAAATTCAACCATACGACAATTACAAATATAAGGTGTTATTATTATTAGACCTTTAGAATGCCAATGCAATTCACTTATATAATTAGAATTGTTTCAATTTTTTTAATTAATTAATAATTATAGATGGAGTAATAAATACCAATCCAACGTGTCAAGATAAAGCAATTTGACTGGCTTGTCAATCTAATGTGTCAAAATGGAGCAATTCTAGAGCTTTCAAAATGTGCCACATGACGAACAACCCGCATGAGTATTCAGCTTTATATTGATATATTGATGCCCCAGAACTTTTCTATAAAAAAGTTTAAAATTGTACATTCTACAAATTAACGGAGTTCGGAGGACGGAGTGGGACTAAAATCTCATTTCCGAAACTAGTTGGTGTTTATAAGAAATTGTGAAACATGTGGGGCTTTTTAAATTATCCATTGAAATTAGAGCAATATTATGTTTATACGTGACTTATATAACAACTGAGTCATATAAACAGAACAAATTTTTTTTTTAAAAAAAGGGATAAAATAGTTATTTTATGTAAATTTTGTATAATTTTTAGTCATATAAAAAGAAAATAATAAATAAAGAATAAAATAATTATTTTAGGTAAATTTCGTATAAATTTTATGTGTTTATATGATCCAATTGTGTTATAAGCGAAACGTTATTATTGAAATTACTAAAACGAGCGTATTTACTATTTAGTAAAGTGTATTCTTTCCTAAGCCCTCACCCTCCCGATCCAATCGCCCTTCGCCGCCAGGTACAAGGTACACGCCTAACCCTTATTCGTTTACTTTATTTCGCAAAATTGTAGAGCTAGGGTTTAACACTACTGCCCTAATTTCAAATTGGTTCAATCTCAATTGTATCGATTTTGTGGTTCAATTAGGTTTTGCCTCTCTAATTGAATGGGGGATCGGAACACCGCTGCTCCCAAAGCAATATGGCTGAAGCAAGCCGAAGAAGCCAAACTCAAGAGCGAGGCCGAGAAGGCCGCGGCTGCAAAAGCCGCATTCGAAGCCACATTCAAAGACGTTGCGAATAAAGCTCGCGAGAAGCAACCGGGTTCTGGTTCTGATAGTGATTCTGAAGACGATTGGGAGGAGGATTTGAGCAACAAGCCCATCGGGCCAGTGGACCCCGCCAAATGCACGGCTGCTGGTGCGGGTATTGCTGGTGGCACGGCGGGTGCTGCGTCTTCGTTTATGGTTGTGACCAAGGACTCGGATGGGAGGAAGGTGGCTAATGGAGGTGCTCAAATAAGTGTGAAGGTTGCACCGGGTGTAGGAGTGGGCGGTTCGGAGCAGGAGGGGATTGTTAAGGACATGAATGATGGTACTTATACTGTCACTTATGTGGTTCCTAAGAGGGGTAATTATATGTTGAGCATTGAGTGCAATGGTAAACCCATTATGGGTAGTCCCTTCCCGGTTTTCTTCAGTGCAGGTACATAATTCGTGACTTCTTCTCTTTTTATTTTAACTGGACTTAAGATTTTCTCTTTTAGCTAGGAATTTAGGTTCAAATTTTGAAAATTGATTGATTTTCTTTTTCATAGAGTGAATGTTGGTGAGCCTTTTGATTTGAATATTTGAACTATATTTAGCAGGTACTTCAACTGGAGGACTGTTGGGTATGGCTCCTGCCTCCAATTTTCCTAATTTAGTCAACCAAACTATGCCCAACATGCCAAACTATTCTGGGTCAGTTTCAGGGGCATTTCCTGGATTACTTGGAATGATTCCAGGTGTTGTTTCTGGAGCTTCTGGTGGTGCTATTTTGCCTGGAATGGGAGCATCACTTGGGGAGGTTTGTCGAGACTATCTTAATGGTCGTTGCCCGAAAACTGATTGCAAATTGAACCACCCGCCTCACAATTTGCTAATGACTGCATTAGCTGCAACAACCAGCATGGGGACTCTCAGTCAGGTGCCTATGGCGCCTTCTGCAGCCGCAATGGCTGCTGCTCAGGCTATTGTTGCTGCCCAGGCTCTTCAAGCTCATGCTGCTCAGGTTCAAGCACAACAGTCAACCAAAGAATCGTCTGGTAATTTTATCCCTGCTTTCTTTATATATTTATTATATCTATTTGTTTTATTTTTGCTCTACTTCCTAAAATTGGTGTTATCCTTCTTATCAGATGACAAAGCAGGGAAGGCTGATGCTTTGAAAAGAACTCTACAAGTTAGCAATCTTAGCCCACTTCTTACTGTGGAACAGCTGAAGCAACTTTTTAGCTTTTGTGGCACAGTTCTTGAATGTACCATAACTGATTCAAAACATTTTGCCTACATAGAATATTCAAAACCTGAAGAAGCAACTGCCGCTTTGGCATTAAACAATATGGATGTTGGAGGTCGGCCATTGAATGTTGAGATGGCTAAAGCACTTCCACCAAAAACTCTTGTGAATTCATCACTTGCTTCTTCTTCTCTGCCAATGATGATGCAGCAAGCTGTTGCCATGCAACAGATGCAATTCCAGCAGGCTTTGCTGATGCAACAAACTCTGACTGCGCAGCAGGCAGCTAACAGAGCTGCATCTATGAAGACTGCTACAGAGTTGGCTGCTGCTAGAGCTGCAGAGATAAGTAAGAAGTTAAAAGCAGATGGACTTGGGGATGATGAAAAGGAAACAAAAGAAAAATCCAGGTAATATGGATTCTTTAACAGAAACTTACCTTTTTTTTTTCCCCTTTGTCTAACCCTAAATCTAGGGAACATTTAGTTAGTTTGGCAAGTACTTCATATTAGCATCATGAGCATGAGTCCTGATTCGTTTCACTTTTGTGGGGTTGTGAATTCACTAACTTGGAAATAAATATATCTGATGATCAAGTTACTCTGACATGATCCTTAATTTTGTACTTCATTTATTTACTTTTTGTTAACTTTAGTTTATTGCATCACTTTAAAGTGTTAATCATCCAAGTCAGTGTAGCATTGAAAAGTTGCTTGTGTTTATTTTAGTTGAATTTCAATGTCACATATGTAGTAGTGCCAGATAGGTATTAACCATCCTTATCCTGAAAAATTGGATCTCTCTCAAGATTCATAATTAGTTAACTAAGTGGGTTAGGGATCTCCAACCTCCTCCCTGTAATGTTGTTGCATTCCCATGCTTGCCAATTTCTTGCTTGATATGGAGCAGATTGTGGTTGGGGATCCTCCTTTAGGAGATTGAGTTAAATGAGGAATCTTATTCTCATATAGGTCAACTATGATTCTTATTTATTTATGTTTTTTTTTTTATTGATATTGATAGATTTTTATTATTTGGAACCATTAACTCATCAAATCTTTTCGATATCTTAGCATATGACAACAATGAAGTACATAGGAAGAATAAAGGTATTGTTTGAAAAATATCCAAATAGATACAGTTAAATAATGATGATGCAAGCATTAAAAGTAAACTAAAATCAAAATATGTATGACCTTTCATACATATAGAATACATCATTTGCAACAACCAATAATCACAACAATTTTAAAGAAAACCCTTTCTTTTTATAGGGAACAAACTATATTAATAAAAGAAAATAAATTAGTACATGTGAAAAAAGTCTATGATTCCACCAGAAAAATGAAAAAAAATTATAAAAAAAAAATTAGGTAAATAAAACTTCAAAATTACTGCCCACCCATCACTTTGAATGAAGAAGGAATATATTCACTAGAATTAGTTAGCATGTGAAACCTTGATTGATTTCATCGCACAAACTCTCTCCCAAAGCAATTCAACAGCCTTTCTTTTTCATATCCAAAACGCTTTTATTTCTCTCATTCCAAACAATTCAGGAAATAGTGAAAATACCGCACCTCTGCAGCATTTGAGCTTTCTGTCCCTCTTCCAAAGAGCATGATACTCTGAAAGAAGAGATTTATGGTGATCTGGGATTGTCCAATCGTTCATTATGTACCAAAAGTACAAATCAAATAGCTATTCTTTAGAACTGTAAACTAAATTGTTTTGTGCGGTTTCAACAACAAAGCAAATAACTAAAATTGACACCAGTTACATAAATGGTTTTCGAGATCAAAAGAAACAATTTTTTACGATCATTTTTCCAAAGTTATTTATTGTGATATTTTATAATAAAATTTGTAGTCTTAAGAGTTATATAATTATTCATTTAGTTATTGTGATATTTATAGTTCTTCTAAATGTCTTCAAATCTTAGGCAAATTCTGTGAATAAATATCTAAACTCTTAAGAGTAAATTACTTTTCTCTTAGTTATTAGAGTTTTATTAATAATTAATAATTACACGTATTGGATAGATTGCTTTAGGTAATCAAGAAAATATGATTTGCCATCATATATTTGATTTTGTTTTGACAATTAGCAAAGTGTCAAGTTGGACACAATCCTTATTCAGGCCTGGGATGTATGTTTTAACCAAACAATAGAATCTATGACCCTTTTATTTCATTCCTTACAAGATTCAATTCATATCTTGACTATATTTTTGTCTTGTATTCATTTGTGCAACAACTGCAGGTTTATTGTCTTTAGAAAATTCTCCTTGTAAGAAATAGAAGCATAAAATTGTTTTTTTAACAGATTTTTTTTTTTTTTTTTACTGTGGAAGCTAATGGAGTTCCTTGATATAACACTATTATTTCAAGGTTTTCTGTCTCTGAAATTTTTTTCATCTGAGAACTCTATAACTTTTCATGGATGGTATGTATGGGCATATTTGTTTGGAATTTTTGACTGATTAGTCACATATACAGGTCACCATCTGCATCTTGTGCCAAGTCGAGATCCAAGTCGAGGTCACCAATCCATTATCAGCGAACCTCACGTGCTAGGTCAAAATCCAGATCAAGATCACCGGTCGGTTACCGTCGAAGGCGGAGATCACGCTCTTTCTCGCCTCTATCCCGCCACCCAAGAGATCACAGATCTAGGTCACCGCGAAGATTGCGTCATTATTCAAGTTATGACAATGACAGGCTTTCGTACAGAGATGTCAGGGACAGTGGTGGCAGATGTAGAAGGCGGGATTCAGGTAGATCATATGATCACCATTCACCTGTTTCAAGGAGGAAAAGGAGTAGGAGTAGGAGTTTGAGTCCTCACAATAAAAAATCATATCGATCTGGTTCAGAGACACCAAAACATCACTCACCTGATAGAGCTAGAAAATCATCTCGTGGTCGCTCAAGATCACCAAGGCCTCTTAGAGGAAGTGGGACATCCCCAAGAAATGATGATATAAAACTAAAATACAGAAAGCGTTCTAGGTCAAAGTCTGTGGAAGAATTTGATGAAAAAATTGATGATGTTCAAGATAGAAAATCAAGGCATCGTGAAAGAAAGCGTTCTAGGTCCTTGTCCAGGGAAGTTAAGCATCATGGAAGAGGCAGGTCACCCCCAAAAACTTCTGATGAAAGTAGATCAAGGCATAGGAAGCGGTCCAGGTCAAAATCTGTGGTGGGGAAAAGTTACTCGAATGAGAAAGTGGATGAGATGAGAGATGAGAGATCAAAACATCATCATAAGAGGCGGTCCAGATCTAAATCTGTGGAAGCTGACCATCGCATCATGGAGAAAGGGGACGAAAGTAGGGATAGGAAATCAAAGCATCGTGATAGGAGGCGATCCAGGTCAATATCTGCCGATGGTAAGCGTCGCAGAAGAAGCCGGTCTCCAAGGGGTTTGGATGAAGGTAAAGCAAAACACCGAAGGTGTTCCAGGTCAAAGTCTATTGAAGGCAAGCATCACTCTGATGATAGAGTAGGTGAAAGTAGAGATGAAAAATCAAAGCGTCGGAGGGGTAGGTCAAGATTGGCAGAACGTAGGCATCACAGTAGTAGGTTGTCACCGGGAAGCTTGGAGCAGAGTGAATTGAACTGTAAAAGGCGCTCCAGGTCACAATCTGAAGAAGGTAAGCATCATATAGAAGGTGGGAATGCTGAACCAAGAGATCATAAATCAATGCATGATCAGCCAAATTTGGATAAAGCTGAAGATGCCACTGTGGAACCAGATTATAGTGTGAAGGATTCGCCTATGATGGGGGATGATGGATTTTCTACTTCAAAACACAAGAATCGTGACTTTAAGAAATCAATAGATTCAATAGAAAAAAATCATGGTATGAAAAGCATAGATCGACAAGATTTTAAGAGTGATGAAGTAAATTCAGTGATGCAGAGTTGTGGGATTTCTTATGAGGCAGAGGAACTTAGGAGAAAAGAAATGCCAGATTCTAAGCTTGTTAGAAATGGTAATGGTGAAAATTGATAAGGAAAAAAAAAAAAAAAAAAAAAAGCAAAAGAAGAAAAACTACACTTTTCCAGTGTCTTGAAATGATAAGTAGCTGATATTTAGACTGTTTGTTGTTTGCAGGATTAGAAGAAGATCAAACTGATTACTGAAGGTCAACCCCAGTTGACAATTTTGACTGAACTGGCTTGAGCAGTGACTGGAATCTGTCAACAATGTATTCAAGTTCTTGTTCTAGAAAAAGTTCTAAGTCTCCCTGAGGTTGAAAGCTCACAAGAGAAGCTCCATATGAAATGCTGAAGTTACAATCAGAAGTTAAAATATGAAATAAATTGGATCAAGGGCTGCTTTTGAACCTAGATTATCCAGAGGGAGATGTTGATGAGTGATGCCTCTTAAAAGCTCTGAAGCTTGCTATAATCATGAATAACTTTCTAGCATTTGGAGTTTGAAGGGTGGTTCTCTCAGAAGACTGCTTAGATTTTTAATTTTTGGTGTTGGGATATTTCTACTGGTTGTTGGCTTTTCATAAATGTATGCACTCTTTGTTTGTTTATCTTTGCAGGTCCATGTGGAACGTATCTGTACTTGAGTCTTCAAGCTAATCTAATATGGATAAGTATCTGAAGATGTGTTCTGCTTCCACCTGGCCGTCCATGCAACATTGTAGCAAAGCATCTTTTACTACTAGATGTATGTTGGACTATTTCCTTTGTTGCTGCATAATGAACGTTTTGATTAAAGTGTTTATTTGAATGATAATTGCCAGTTTACAGTCTCTTTTGAATTTCATTAATTTTTTAATGGTAGTTCAGTATCTTTGTGAAGTCGTAGGTTGTTGATACAGAGTAGATATTGGATTTTATTGAACAATTGCAGGACATTGTGTAAACGTAAGCTTCTGCATGGATGTATTATGCGTGAAGACAATAAGCATGTTTGATAACTAGGGAGGTGGTTCTTAGTGTAGATCTCTTTGCACTGCCCCCAGCTCATTTTGGTTCTCAGGTTTACCGTTTTCAATATGCAGCTTTTCACTCCTGTTTTACGTGAAAAGACTATTGTGCTTGATAGGCTTGCCTTTGATGTTGCTGATCATTGGTTGCTATTTTATATACCTGTCACGGTGTAGTGGGCATGTTATAAGCAAACACATGTGGTTTGTATGATTGGTTTGGGAGGGTTGGTTTTATTGCTATAAACAAAGGTATGCATTCATGATTATTTTAATTTTTACATCACGGAGCCTGTGTAGTAAGCTCTTTATGCAGTCATCACATTCTTTTGCAAGTGGTCATTAATATGAACTTTAGCTGGTGGTTCACTGATATTGTTTTCGAATACTTTTAATTTCTAACAATGAAATGGATACGGCATATCTTATGTCTTTCCCCATCTTTCTTTTTTGTTTTTGTTTTGTTCATTTTTTTTTTCTATTTTTTTTATTTTCCCCTTCCCAAGGAACTCTCTTGAGTAGGCAAGCTTCTTTGAGTGAGATCAGATGTGGCTGGGATGAGTAGCGTTACAATTTCACCATGTTGAATATGAGCATATTGGCTGACTCAAAATACTTAATTTCATGGTGTGCAAATGTTGGTTTTAACAGGTAATTTTACATGAAATTCTAGGTTGAGTTTTGATTCTTGATTAAAGCTTTTAGCTCTAGCATTTCTGTCTTGTTGGCGACTAGTGATATATTTCATACGGTACGTAAAGATGAGAAAATATAGTTACTAGTTGTCATTTTTTATATTTTAAGATTGTAAACTCTAAATGCAAATGATAAAAATTAGTAGATGTCCCTTACTACATTTTTGTTTTAATAGTATAAATAGAATATAGTTGATTTTGTTATAAAATATCGTCTAATCAATACATTAGTTGTAATACTATAAACAAGCTAGACCATTATAACTAATATTCTATTTTTCCATGGATATGTACTTGCTCTTTTTTTTTTTTTTTTTTTTTTTTAAAGTTGGATTAGTCCATTCTTAGGTTTAATATGTGTTTAGCTACATGTACATAAATTTAGTGCTTCTTATATTATACGTTGTGCGCTTGTGCGGAGGTTTACTGTCAAAAGGGCAATATCTTGTGGATGCTTTATCTTACAAAGTTCTTTTTACCGCCCAAAAACAAGTTGAATACTCTTTTATTATATATATATATTATTTGCCTGGAAATACTGCTTGGTGTAATTAGTATCTAAAGCCCATCCTTTTGTTGTTGATTTGGTCTCTCTCTTCTCCCTTCCCACTCTTCTTTTCTTGTTAGGATAAGCTTCCGGATATGACGATTAGGGAGCTGAAGCCTTTTGTTCCAACGCATAATAAGTTATGCATGAAGTGGATGTCAAAGTTTTATGCTTCTCTCTCCCTTCTTTCTTTTTTTATTTTTCCTCCTTTTTTTTAACGATGATAATTGATCAATTGGATATCTCCAAGAGGACAGGGAACTGGCATTGATACGATGAGATTTACAGTGTTTTGTTCTTATCGAAGTTCATTCTAACTTGAGAATGTGAATATAAATCTAGTGTAGCTTAGAATTTCATGCTATTCCATTCTAATTGACCTCAAATGAACAACTCTGGCAACTGCCTGGTGGTCAATTTGTGGCTTCATTGTGAAACCATATAGTGCTGATTTTGTTTTTAAAATCCAGGTTTCATTTATATGGTATGTAAATTATTTATTTGATTCCTTTTATAGGCTAAAATGGAAAATTATTTATTTGAATTTATATTATTATTGTTTGTTTATTTCAGCATTTTAGTATAATTTTTTTAAGTCTAATGATCTATTAAGTAGTTGAAAGAAGTGTTTTGATACCATGATGACAAAATTTCTTGGGTACTTTTATCTGTTGGAATTATAGTTTAGACTTTAATTTTGTTAAAAAGAAAATAAAGATATTTCAATGCAGCAAGAATTTTCTCTGTATGGGCAGGACACTAATGGCAGGCATTATAGTTATAGATGTTCGGTTAGATTTGAGGGCTGTTCAGGTAATTTTCTCGTCGAGAGGATTGAACCAAATGACTTGATAGTTGAAAACGAAAACGGAGATGCATATTACTAAACCGCGTGAACAAAAATATGTACACTATGATAACCTATAGTTTTTTATATAATTTTATTATAAATATATTAGTTTTCAGGAAAAAAAAAAAAAATTAAATAAGTAAAAAATCATACACGTGTACCCAAGGTTGGCTTGGCTCAACGAAAGCTGAGGCTTTAGGGGAAAATTTTAATTAAAATTTCTTTATTTTAATTAGAATAAATGATATGTTGAACATATAAGGTTGTTACATTATTTTGTATGATTAATTAATTTAAATGAAAAAATTGTCAATAATTTTTAATAATACCTTATCTCAAGAAGAGGCTTAGACAATTGTTTAGTTGCCTTTCCCTTGAGATTGGGATTGTGTATCCTGATTTTATTATTTGTAACTCCACATTCAAACCATTCTATTTAGGGACGATTAAAAGAAAATTTAACAGAAAATAAGGGCAAATTAGTAAAATACAAAATAATAATAATGCAAGTCAATTAAAAAGTTCCTATCATAAGCTGACACATGGACCTAAAAAATATAATAAAATTAATTGAATTAGAAAATAAAAAAGGTGTTATAAATTTACCCGGGTGAAACTTAGACTTTGGGTTTACGTTACGATATTGTTAGTTGTCGGTGGAGTTTAATGGGCCCATTCCCTTTAATTAAGAATAAGTCTATCCTTACAAAGAACTCTACAAAAAAACTTATAAAGTGAAGAAAAAAAAAAAGGAAAAACGAAAAAAGAGAAAGAGAGAGAGAGAAATGATAAAGATGAAGGGTGGAGGTTAACTTTGTATGCCTCCTTTGTAGGCTTCTTTGTAAGACTAGCATTGCTGTTTAATTAAACTCCCACATCTTTTCTCATCTAAGCAATTTTCACCGTCGATTCCATTGAAACTTGTTCGACGTTTAACTCAACATCCATTCATACGTATATTTGAGAATTTATTTTTAAAAAGAAACACTCGCTACGTTACTGTCAACACTTTCAGGTGAGAAAGCCACGTTATAACTGCCACAAGCCACGTCACCGATTATCATGCCACACGTAACTCTGCATGCAAATGGTATCCATAATTTCAGCTCAAACCCATCAAAAATCAATGGTTTTATAGAGAATCGAGGGCCGGAAGTAGAGCAATCTTTAGGTTAATTTGTTTGATAGAAGAAGAAAGGGAAAAATCATGTCATCAACTCAACACCCTGCAGTTCCCGGCGAGCCAATTCCAACTGGCACCGCTCTCCTCGAGACCACAACAGCCGCCATTCAAGGCTTTGGTCCCACCAACAAAATTCACCAACACCTCTGCGCGTGAGCTTCCTCTTATTACCATATTATCTTCATATTTAAAATAGTAATATTAATCTATATGGCAAATTTTTAGTGTTTTTAATATGTAATTTTTAATGTCCCAGTTTTTTGTTTCTAATATGCTCCCACTGAAACAAAATCCTGCATCCGTCAACTATTATTAGTAATTTTAGTTGTAAGTTTATTTGATGGGAATTGTAGGTTTCATTTTTATTCTGATGACATGACTCGGCAAGTGGAGGCGCACCACTTTTGTGGGCATCAAAACGAAGAAATGCGGCAGTGTCTCATATACAATAGCCCTGAAGCGGACGCGAGGCTCATTGGGATTGAATATATCATATCGGAGAAACTCTTCTTGACGTTGCCGGACTCAGAGAAGCCGCTGTGGCACACTCACGAGTTCGAAGTGAAAAGTGGAGTGCTGTTCATGCCTGGAATTTCTGGTCCCATTGAGAGGCAAGATCTTGATAAGGTTTGCAAGACTTATGGTAAGGCCATCCATTTTTGGCAGGTTGATAGGGGTGATAATTTGCCTCTTGGACTGCCCCAAATTATGATGGCCTTGACTCGTGATGGCCAGCTTTATGAACACCTTGCTTTAGGTATATATTTTATATATTAAAACCAACAAAAAAGGAATATACTTGTTAACCAATTTGGTAATTATATACACATGCAGATGTGGAGAAACGATATGGTTTGTCGTTTGCGAAAGAGAGGGAGAACAGAGCGTACATGTCGGGACCGGAGCATGGGATACATCCACTGGCTAATGCTGCAGGCAAGGGGGTCAAGACTACACCGAGGGAGGTAGAGTGCAGGCCTGTTGAGTCTGTTTGACCCACTCCCAAACTACAAGTCTTAATAGTAATATCTACTGTGTTCAGCTGTAGTTATGTGTTTCGTGTGCCGTCTATAGTCTATCACACTTGAGGTTAATGGTAATATTGGTCATCTGCTTTGAGCTCGAGGGCTGTAAAGGGACCACTGTAGCTGTGCTTTGGCAAATTCTCAAATGACCAACTCTGGCTACTGCGTGGTGTTCAATTTGTGGATTAATAGTGTGAAACCACATAGTAATGGGTGGCCTTTCTAAAATCCAAGTTTAATTACACAAAACTGTCTGGCAATTTCTAATAAATTCCAACTTCTGATTTGTAAAGTGGACTTTTACAACTTTGGATATTAATAATATATACAGAATTGAAATTCGTAACCTGGAACTTATATATTGAATATGGATGTTATTATTATATTTCACTTTTTTGGGGGCAATGTTACTTAATGACTAGTATGTGTCCTATATTTTTATATTTTTATTTTATCTCGTAAATTTCTAAATTCCTAAATAGTTGATATTTAGTGGAAATAATGCTACTTATAAAGAAATCTTACAAAAATTGGATCAAAACCATAACATATCATTGATAACGAGGTATTTTTTAGTATTTTTAAAGCAAAGTGAATCAATGTAATATTAATCGATCTCATAGGGGTTTTTTTTAATACTTTTAAAACAAAGTAGAACAATGTATATTAACCGATCTCATATGGGTAAATAAAGTGTACCAAACAAAAGAAATCTATTAATCAAGGCCAATGAGGTTCTTCAAATGTGAAGGGAGGTCAAGGCTAGTTTTTCATGTCTTTAGGGCATGAGGACTAGATCTGAAACCTTAGGGGAGGTGTGCGATAATAACCCATATTTAATTTATGGTGTTTTGAAAAAAAAAAAAAATTATTTGATACCTTTCATTGATTAAAATAGAAAATTATAATCCAAAATTTGGGAGCCTCGTCTAATTTTTTTTAATTGAATATACATTAAATTAACCATAAATGAAGGGTAACAAAATTAACTACAACTCTAAACTACATGAACCAATAATTATCAATATTTTAAAATTACCCTCATATAAAAATCAAATTTTCATCCTGTTTCTCTACCTTTCTCTCTCTCACTCTCTCTATTTTTAGAGATTTCTCTTTTCTTATGATTTGAAATTAGATTTAGGTATGGATTTGAAATTACTTTTAGACAGTTTTTTTTTTCTTCTTCTTTTAAATAAATGATTATATTAGGTTATTATATGTCATTATATCTTTAAAATGAAAAATAAAATAAAATTGAGAGTTTCTATGTATTTTTTTCAAAGGAGATAATGAAGAAAAATAAAGACATAGAGAATAGGAACAAGACTTAAACTTCTAGAGGAGAATGACTAATGTTAAATTAATAATAAGACCACTCAAAGTTACATATAAAGTGACATTATTTATAATAGAATGAAGACACCTGGACTTCTATTTTTATGGCACTACTAACCAAACACCTAAAATTCGGACTTACATGACTCCACTCTCATCATTAATGTGTCACTAAAATAGCAACAGTAGAATAATCATGACTCCACTAAAATAATCCACTAAAACATGACTCCAATAAATTATAGGAAGAATGCTATAGAATCAGGATTAATGCCAACATCCTCCCTTAATCTAGTTTCGGAGGAGTAATCATTCCAAGCAATTGCTTCATCTTAGCAAAAGCTTCATACTTCAACGGCTTGGTGAAGATGTCAGCAACTTGGTTTTCAGACTCGCAGTACTCCAACTCAATCACCTTTTCTTCAACTTGCTACCTAGAAAATGAAAGCAGTTGCTGACGTGCTTGCTCCTTCCATGTGTGACTGGAATTTTTGCCAGACTGATTGCAGAGGTATTATCAACAAAGATCTTCATAGGTCCTTCGATTGAAAAATGAATTTGACTCAACAAATTGCGTAATCAAATTGCTTGACATGCACTTGAAGCTACAACAACATACTTTGCTTCACAGGTTGAAAGAGTAACAATTGATTGTTTCTTGGAAGACCATGAACAAACAGTACTTCCATATTTGAAACAATAAACAGACGTGCTTCTACGATCAACTACGTCTCCACCCCAATCACTATTTGAGTAGCCAACAAGAACGCAATTGTTAGATGAAGAGTAGAATAAACCATGATCAAAAGTGCCCTTTATGTATCGCATAATTCTCTTGGCAACTTTCATATGAGATTGGCGAGAAAATTCCAGAAATTTGCTAATTAAAACAAACTCCATAAGATATGTCAGGCCTTGTACATGTCAAATATGTTAAACTTCCAACAATTTGTCTAAACAAAGTGGAATCAACTTAAGCCTCATTATCTTCTTTGGATAGTTTGGTTCCAACCTCCACGAGAGTTCTCACAAGATTGCAGTCATGCATACGGAGCCCCTTTAAAAGTTTGGTAACATACCTCTTTTGGCAAATGAAAATCTCATCCTCCTTTTGAATAACTTCTATACCAAGAAAATATGACATTAAGACAAGATATGTCATTTCAAACTCATGCATCATAGACTTCTTAAAATCTTCAATCATTATAGAATTATTGCCTGTAAAGATTAAATCATCAACGTAAAGACAAAATAATATAGCATCACCAAAATCATTAATCTTCACGTATAAAGCATGCTCGGAACGACACTTCTAGAGTCCAACCTTATGGAAGAAGGAATCAATACACTTGTTCCATCCTCTTGGTGCTTGCTTTAGATCATATAAAGCTTTCTTTAATTTGAACACCTTTTCTTCTCTCCTGTTCTTTATAAAACCTAGTGGTTGTTTAACAAACACTTTTTCTTCCAAGGGACCATTAAGAAAAGCTTACTTTACATCCATTTGATGGATCTTCCAATGTTTCTGTGCTGCCAAAGCAATTATGAGTCTAATAGTTTCAATTCGAGCAACTAGACAGAATACATCTTGATAGTTATGACCAGTTCGTTGCTCAAATCCCTTTGCCACTAATCTGGCTTTGTACTTGTCCACCTCTCCATTTGCTTTCATCTTTGTCTTGAAAACCCACTTCACATTGATAGCTTTGTGACCAAGTGCAATGTTAGTAAACTCCCATGTGTTATTCCTTTCAATTGCCTTCAATTCTTCATTCATAGCCTTCACCCATTTGAAGTCTTGAATTGCTTCCTCAAATGTCACAGGTTCACAATCTGCAAACATAGCAAGATGCACGAAATCCCCATCATCATTAATGGCATTATCAGATGTTATCTCAAAATCTCTCAAGGTAATTGGTTGTTGGCGTTGTCTCCTTGGTCTTCCAGTTTCTATAGGACCTGGTGTTGTAGGATTTTCTTGGGCATTAATTGGTGAGACTTCTTCATTTGCGATAGGAACAGCAGCTTCAAGGACTCCTCCTTCAAGAATAAGATGTCTCGAGGAGTCATTTTGTGCAATGACATCCCTTTTCCAAGTTTCATTTTCGACAAAAGTGACAACTCTACTTACAATCACCTTTTTTGTCACGAGATTGAACAACTTGTATCCTCCATGCGTGTAACCAACAAAAATAGTCTTCTCTCCTCAATCATCTAGTTTTTTCCTTGTCTCTGCTAGAACATGAACATAGGCAATGGAGCCAAATACCTTAAGATTTTTACATTTTCCTTGAAACCACTCCACGCTTTTGTAGGGGTGAAATCTTTGACACTCCTTGTTGGAGATCTATTAGGCAAGTATATGGAACATGTGTTAGAGTTGATGCCCCAGAGCCAATCAATTATTATAAAATTGACTCTTTGTAATAATGTTTATTAATCAATAAAAGATAATTTTCTTCTATATCATGTAAATCATAATTGTGTGTATTGATATTTGTCCTTAGGATGGTAAAACCATGACGAGGGTATCAAGTGTTTCAAATCTTGATAGTGAGAACCTTATGATCACATGTGGTAGCCATTCTAGAAATGTTCGTAGCCCCAGTATTTTTCTGACCAAGGACACAAATAATACGGTAAGGCTATCATAGTGTTGAATGACCTTTTCGAAAGACAGTTACTGATCTCACTTCTCAAGGTTGTTTGCCGACAACCTGGTACGACACATGGGTGCTTTCTGTAGACAAGTTCACTGGACAGACCCACCAGAGGATTCCATATAGATGGTAACCCTAGTGTCTATGGAAGAAATCCTCTAACGAATGGTGGTGCATGTGATCCTTAGACTTGAGATCACCGGAGCGCTTTGTGCACCGATTGGTGTAGTTTGACACCATCATAACGTAGTTCTATTTAGAGCTATCAATACGGTAGTGATTTGCTACATTGAGAAATGTATCGAGACTATGGTGGATCGACAAAGGATTCATCACTCCTGGGTATGGGAGAATTTATCTCACTGGGTAATTCAGTAAATGGCAATGACACTAAATCTGTGGCCACAGTGAGATTGACTTGATGCTCAATCCAATTTATTATCCCGGTCATTGGTCCAGTAACTGACTACAAAGATATCGAAGATGTAACGCCTACATTGAGGTACGTAACTTAACTTATGCCCTTATACCCTTAGTTGATTTTTATTAAAGTTATTTTGAGAAAATGTGAAGAAAATCCTTAAAATTTCATTAGGGGTAAAATGGTCTTTTCACTCAAAATTAGTTGAAATTGTGGAGAGTGAAAAGAGATAGAATTCCATGGAGAATGCAATAAAATGAGGGTATTACGGTAATTGACTAAGGGACATAGATGAAATTTTAAAGAAAGTGCAAGGGCAAAATGGGAAACTAATATATAATATTATGTTATATCAAGGATTGAAGAGTGAAACCCTAGCCACTCTTCAACCATTTTCACACCACCTTCACCTTCATATTCTCTCAATTTCTTCAATTCTTCTTCAAGGGAAATCCATAGATTTTGGGTACTTTTGAGTGGATTTTCAATCCCAAGCATCCTTAGGATTTAAGACAAAGAGAGTTGGATCAAAGANTGCCCTAGAGCCAATC